CATGCACCAATGTTTTAGTGTCAATGAGTAAATGGAAAGTGGTTTCTATAATTTACCTTAATTGATCCTAGCAGAACATTTTATCTACTAAGATAAGATGGTATCAAGAAAGCACTCTGAATCAAGAAGCTATTTTTGTTGAAGGCACCAGTGTTTAAAATTATTTAAGAAGCATACAAAAATCAGGATTAAGAAAATTATTTTAAACTGATGAATATTCATCCTATGTCTTCTGTTAACTTAGAATTTTTGCAGTCTAGAATTGCTGGAGAGTGTTTATAATAACTCCATCAAATAAAAACATTTTCTATGACTAAAAATTATGAAAGTTTTTAAAGCTTGTCTGAGTGGTTCTGTAAAGCAAAGCAAAGCAAAGCAAAGCAAAGCAAAGCAAAAGGCCAACCACTGACAAAAATAAAACTAATGTAGTTCAGGTGTAATACCTGCCCTAAGAAACAGTCAACAGACCCAGCATTGAACAGCTGTGACTATAAGAAATGAGCAACCGCTCTATCTCGGTACTAGTGAAGCACTGTTGTGAATTCATGAAAAAATAATTAAGTAATGTATTTGAATTTCAGAATTGGTTTTGGTTTTCTGTTTTTGTTTCTGTGTAATTTAGGTCCAAATTCTATTTAAGTGTTAATTTTAAAATGGTCAAACAATCATGCTCCAAACGTGAAGCCCTGCACCCTTAGCTATCTCCTCCTCACAAGTGCTATTTGTTCACATGACTCTGATCATACATACAGACAGCTAAATTTACTTAACCGTATTTACTTTTGTTCCTCTAAAGGTACTTAGGTAGGAATGGTAAGGTTAAAAAAAAAAAAGAGCCAATATTTATTGAGTGCTTAAAATGCACCAGGCAGCGTTCTAAGTGCTTTACGTAGAAGGCTTCATTAATTCTTCCAGGAGGCCAACAGTGTGAGGAACGCATTATTATTCCCATTTACAGGAAGGAAGCTGAGTGAGGAACAGGATTCACTTGCTCAGGGTCACACAGCTGAGATCCTAAGGCAACGGCCTGCTCCCTTAACCTCTTACTTTCCCTAGGAAAGTGCCAAGTACACAAAATTAAAAAGTCAGAGTCGAACAGCTTGGTTCTCTTTCATGTAACGATCAGCCCTAAGGAGTGCTTGTCATGTCAAAATGTACTTGAGGGCTGGAGTGATGGGTCAGTGGTTAATGGGAGCACTGGAGCTCTCTCCTCTAGCCCAGCAAGATGCCCAAAGGAAAAAAGGCCAAGGGGAATAAGGAATAAGGTAGCTCAGCCTCCCCCCCCCCCCCCCCCCCCCACTGAAGAAACAGGACAAAAAGGTATTCAGTTCTTTGTTTGAGAAAAGCCCCAAGACTAGGATATCCAGCCAAAAAGAGACCTCATGTGCTTCCTCAAATGGCCCCGCTACATTGGGCCACAGCAGCAAAGGGCCATCCTCTATAAGTGGCTCAAAGTTCCTCCTGCCATTAATCAGTTCACCCAGGCCCTGGACCCGCAAACAGCTACCCAGCTGCATAAGCTGGCCCACAAGTTCAGGCCAGAGACAAAGCAGGAGAGGAAGCAGAGGCTACTGGCCCAGGCTGAGAAGAAAGCTGCTGGGAAAGGGGACGTCCCAACTACGAGACCACCTGTCCTTTGAACGGGGCTCAGTACAGTCACCACCCTGGAGGAGAATAAGAAGGCTCAGCTGGTGGTGACTGCCCACGATGTAGACCCCATTGAACTGGTGGTTTTCCTACCTGCCCTGTGTGAAAAGATGGGGGTCCCCTACTGCATCATCAAGGGAAAGGCCAGGCTGGGGTGGCTGGTCCACAGGAAGACTTGCACCACTGTCGCCTTCACACAGGCTAACTCAAGAGACAAGGGTGTGCTGGCTAAGCTGGGGAAGTATTAGGGCCAACTGCAATGACAGATAGGATGAAATCCGCCGTCACGTATCACGCAATGTGTTGCTATTTCAGCAGGGCCTGGCTGGGGCTTTGTGCATTCCGGTGTGAGAGTAGGGATATCATCACTCAGATGTACTATCTACAGTGACCTTTAGAACCACATAGGCTCTTAGCCTTGGGTTTGGGCTGTGTATACACACAATTGCATTGGTGCGACAGGACAAGTTAATGTAAAAAAAGTGACTTAAAACATTGTGAATCTTCAGAAATTATCCACTTTTTCTTTTTTAACTTAGAAAAGCAATTAGCAGAGGTGCGATGTCTAACAGCAATCTTTCTCCTTTGCCAATAGGGTCTAAAGCACATTTGAGGATACTACACTCACTTTTCCTTCCTATCCATAGCAGAAAGCCAGATGTGCTCTTGTTCTTCCTACCCTGAGCAAAGCTGCTAGGAAAAGAGCTGGCCGCCTACCTCCTTCAGCTAGCTACCTCCCCCTTCAGCTAACTACCTCCCCCTTCAGCTAACTACCTCCCCCTTCAGCTAGCCACCTACCTCCATACAGTGGTTCTCAACCCTCCTAATGCTGTGACCCTTTAATACAGTTCCTCATGCTGTAGTGACCGCCAACCATAAAATTATTTTTGTTGTTTCTTCATAACTGTCATTTTGCTATAGTTATGAATGTAAATATAGATCTGAATGTAAGTATCTGATGTGCAGGACAGCTGTATGTGGCCCTGTGAAAGCTGTGTCTGGCCGTCAGAGGGGTCCTGGCTCACAGGTTGAGAACCCCTGCTCTAGTACCGCCTGTCTTCACCTGTGTGTCACTGATAGTGTGGCCCCGCTCACCACTCTCAAACAGGCAGACTGCTCCTCTACACAGAACTTGCGCTGGCTCCTTTGTGTCCCCAACATGAAGATGAGAGGGGCCTCATGTGCGGCACCAAGGTTTTTGCTTCTGGAAGCTACTTTTTCCAGAGCCAGTCAGCTACTTTAGAAACAGTGGACAAAAATGACTAGTGCTATGACTGTAGACTTGGTCCTCTGAACACTGAAAAGTTTTCAGAGCCCATTTTCAAAATTCCTATCTCCTTGTGTTTTCTCCAACTTGTTTTATAGGATAATTGCTATAAATATTAGTGGAATTATTCCATCTAGATGTCCATTAAAAATTTTTACAGCCTCACAGCTAAGAAATATTGAAAGATTAGAAAGGGACCTATGTTGGGTTTGTTAGCACAGAGAATCCATGTTTTTGGGGATTCAGGCCCCGCCCCTCATCCCGGGAACTGCGCAGGCCAGCCTCAGGAGTGGCTGTGAGCAGCATCCGTGCAAAGCATTTTTGCAGCAGTCACTGGACTCATGGCCAAGTTCTCCAGGCGCAGGTCTCACCTCCTCTCACCTGCTGAGGAGATGACTCAAATCTTGCTTTGGATGGGTTCGGTAAAGGTGATATCCTCACAGCTTCCCTGCCTTTTCTAAGAAGCATGCTGTCATTTAAAGACAGTCAGCACCTGAGTTTTCACCAACAATTCTGAATGTGCTTAGTCAAATTAATAGCTCTTGTTACCAGTTACCACAAATGGCCATGAATAAAATGTAAAGCGTATGTATGTATTACATAAATAGATACTGATGTTGCTAAAAATGATTAAAATTCTATTCTATTTTGTAAATATACACAGTCTGTACTGGACCTCCAATTTATCACTAAAATACACTTGGAACTTAACAAGAAAAAGGGAGAATTCCATTATTAATGGCACCAGACACACCTATAGAAGATGGTCTACAATCTCAATTACTGTTCCTAATATATCAATGCCTATCAGGAAAGAATTTCAAGAAATTTAAGGAAAATATGACAGTTTATTGAAAACAGTCTAACTGTACTTTATGGAATAATTTACTTGTTTTCAAATACACGATTACCTAGGGTTTGGACCATGACCAAGCTGTAGTGATGTAACAATACAATAAAATGTGGGAACTGGTCCCATACAGATCCATAAATGATTTAATATTAGTTTAGAAGAGCTTAATGGTTATAGCATACATACTTATGATAAAAACCAAATGCCCCTTTTAACACTCAGGATTGGATGAAATTGCAAAAGATTTTTGAATCTGACATAGTGAGATGATTATTTTCATTGCCTCTCTTCATTCAAGGCCCAAATATGGATATATGCTAGCCAACTGTCTTCTGATAACTCAAAATAGACTACCTTAAAAAAAATCAGCAATTTGTTCCTTATTTAAAGTTCAGAAGGTAGGGCTAAACTCCAGTCCTATAGGAGTCTGTGGGAGTTCTCAGCAGGAGCCTCATCCTATGCAATCTGGTAATAACAGATCACTTTTCCTTGTTTATTTTAAGAACTCTGACAAGTTGGGGTTCACAACGTAAATGTACTTTCGATAAAGATATTGTAAATAGAGCACGCAGCTGCAAATTCAGCACACGGTGACAGAAATTCGTTTACGGCCCTATGAATATAAAACAGCAAGTCAGACAGAGATCTCAGACGCAATCTACCATCCCAGGCCGCAACAACATTCTCGCTATGATATTAAAATAGCCAACCTTTGCGGAGCGTTAACCTATCATTACACAGAGTAAATGGCACGGCACCGCCACCTAATTAGCAGTGTGGCTTGCATCTATAAAGCAGAATTAGCACCACTGCTCTTTTTATTCTTAGTTTGTGTTTCCACAAAGGTGTGACCTTCTCTCTCTGCTTCTGTTCATCTATGCTCATCTACAAAGGACTTAATTATGTTCTCCTAGTTTTCTATACTGAGGAAATGGAAAACTGTCACTTGGAAATTTAAAATCTTGGAGAAATTAGTGAGCAGATTATTTACAACACCCTTCGACTTTCAGAGACAAGGAATGGAATGTCTTTGACTAAGGAAGGCATACGTTTTTCAGAGAAGGAAACCGCTGGCAAGGAGATTCTAACTCTTCCCCTCTTCTTTCCCACACACATTCCTCCAAGTTTCTTTACTTCGTTGGGGCAGAGCTGGCTAACTGGGAAGTGTCTTAAGAATGTGGGGTCCCTGAAACGTCTATCAACCAGGTTGGCAGCCAGAAGACAACAACTTACATCTGAGGAAGGCGATTCAAGAACAATGCCAAATCCCAGGGCGTGGCTCTCCTCAGTGGAGGTGTGCTCTGCGGCTTGGAGACCAGGTGGCCTTGTGGCCACGGCTGCTGGCTGCTTCTCCATTTCCAATGGACTGGGCTTTGGTTTCATAGTCACGGGTTCCGCAGTCTTCGGGAGCACTTTTTTCTTTTTATTTCTCTTGCGTGAGACAGCGGTTCGCTGGGAGCATATAAGGGAAATTGGGGGTTGTTGTCTGTTTTGAGTTCCAACTGTGGACAATAAACACAAACATGGTACAGGCACTTGTATCTGAGGAACACCTACCCCGGCCTGTGTCTATGATTTACAAATGGACACTGATGAAGCACAGGTAGATCCTTCTCACTCTGCACTTCAAAGTCCTAACAGCAGAGCGTCACCCAGGAGAAATGCACTCTGAGCACACTGCATCACCGGGCCAATATAGCACCCTGGCTTCCATGGAAGGAAAGGGCTAAGAGCTATGAGAAAACATGGCTTCATGAATCAGGTGACAGGTTTAAACAAGAACTGCAGAACTTAAACTCAGGCACAGATGCTCACCCTCTCTGTTAAGCCCATCCCAGGAAAAACCCTAATGTTTCTGGGAGTACAGCTGACCAGTTACAGTCCACAAGGGCCAGAATGATGATCATTTGAGCAAGACTGGTTGAAAGAAACAGTCCAGAAGGACTCTATCCAGAACAGGGCCGGGTAAGGACACAGGAAAGTTGCATTACTCATTTAATCTTGCCAGGTCACCTCTTTCCTCATCGGGGATTCTCTGCTCCACACACGGCGTCCCGCGGTGTCTTACTAGGTTACCTACTTCTCTAGACCTCACTAGGACAAATAGGAATGACATGGTTCTGAATGAGTCAAATAAACCAGCAGATATTCAAATAGCGCAGTGACCAAGTACTCACGCTGAACACGTACTTAAAAAGAGTCCAGGATTACAAGTCTGTCTTTCACAGGTGCACTCTGAGGAGCATTTATCAACACTCTGATGCAATGGGAAATGGGAAAATATGGCTTCAATTTGCATCAAATCCTCATCTATCAACATGGCTTCCTAAATAAGACCACAGACATGACTCTCTTTTTTTTAAAAAAAAAGTTTATTTTATTTTATGTGCATTGGTGTGAGGGTTTCAAATCCCTTACAACTGGAGTTACAAACAGTTGTGAACTGCCATGTGGGTGCTGGGAATTGAACCCAGGTCCTTTGGAAGAGCAGACAGTGCTCCTAACCACTGAGACATCTCTCCATCTGCCCCCCTGCCTTTCTTTTCTTTTTTTTTTTTATTTACAACAGAAAGAAACCTTTCTGTTGTATAATAATACAACAGAATACAATGTAATAATACAATGTAATAAACGAAAATTAAATCTTTAAATGCACATCAACACAGACTACTTCCTCTTACTTAGTTGCAATCAGTATGAAAATCAAGAATATTTATACTGATCCAAGTATTTTTTATCTCGGCACTAAGAGGAAATTTCCAAGTCTTGGAAGCAACCCGCCGGGTAGCGGCATTGTTTAACCATCCATGTGGTGATCAGTTCTAGATCTACACATGAGAATCAGTGGGGCATTCTGAAAAGGACTCCAGTGCCTTAATAATCTGTTCTGGATTTAGAAGGTCAAAATGTCAAGGGGTGGGTCCAGGGCATCAATATCATTGCAAGGTTTCCCCAGACATTCCAGCCAGATGCATTCTAACCCCAGGCTAGCCTGTCCTGTCCCCAGGGTCAAATGGACTCCAGAAACCATGAGCAGGAGGAGCTAGGCTGCAGCCCCCAGGCCATTTCCACCCTTACTCTTTTAAATGTCTTTGGTGTCCAGACAAGAGGCTATCTAGTCTTGCGTCTCCTGCAAGTCTTGAAAGAGCCCAGTTTTCCTGTATTCAGATCTTACCAACTGGTATTAGTCCTTGTCTTCCTATAAAATAATGGTGAAGCTTTCAAAATACAATTTAAATTTAAGTCTCATGGGCAACAGTCCGTAGGTAAATCTGTCCACACAACATGATCTTTTTAAGTTTGATAAAATTAAAGGAGAGTTATTCGGGTTATCCTTTTTGTTCTCCATAGCTCTGGAATCATCTGCCTCACTAATCTGCAAAGGTTCGGAAGAGAAAACATGGTGACAAAATGGCATTTACTTAATAGATTCTAAAAAGGCCCCAGTCAAGGATTTACATGGGTGCAATTTGCCATTTCAGTAGTAAGGAGCTTAAAGTAACAAAATAAATCATTACAATTTCATATGCATATTTCCCTAAGTGCTAACAAATTCTCCCGCAGTGAACAGCATCTATCAGAATAAAGTAACCTTTCCGCTGAGCCCATTATGTAGGCGATGGCAACCTTTGCCAGTTTAGTAAAAACGCAGATTATCATAGTGGAATAAGGTGAGTCTGTTTGCTTACTGACTTGACAAAATGCCTGTTTTTGTCTTGGGATAAGACAAAGTTTGGTCCTTAAAAAGATGTTTCTTAGAAATCTTTTTGCTTTCTTTAAGAATTTGATTGTGGGTGACTGATGTGTCTAAGTATTAAGCTTTTTTGTATCAAAACCACATCACTGAATGTGAGGATTTTACTAGAATGCGCCGTCTGGCACCAAGTCCATTTTCTGAGTGATGACTTCAAGAACACTCCCATGATGAAGGGTCAGAAGGCCCATTACCACAGCACTGGCTGCGTTCCTACTTTACCACACTAACATCAATAAGCAGCTTTTGCTGTCTGGAGGTATTTGTTGGTTTTTGCATATGTAACCAAATGAAAATTCCAGTTTCCTTACTAATTGTGAAGATTAGAAAATGAGCCACTAAACAAACACCCTGACTTCCAAAACTTCTACAAAGTGCTGTAGGCCCCTTACTGAAGAGTGTATGTGTGCATGTGTGTGCATGTGTGTGTGTGTGTGTGTGTGTGTGTGTGCATTCTGCTTTACAAATCTCATTTACTGTGGCTATCTCCTTCTCATTTAAAAACAACCCTGTGGGTTAGATATTAATACTCCATTCACAGATGAGAATGAGAGGCCTAAAACTCGTCCATCTAGAGAGTGAAAAACTGAGAGTCCAATCCCCACCTCTACATGCCCTGTTGGGTTGTTCATGTTCCCTAAGAACAAAGAGAACAAAAGGAGTCCAGTGAAGGAAGCAGACAGAGGCAGGTATGTCTGTTCATCTACATCCTAGTGCAAGCAGAAAGTCACAGGCCAAGCCTGTGGCTCGCCAGTTCTCATTTGCTTGTGTCCTTGAGTGTCTTCAGCAGGGAACCCTGCATTTCCTGAAGGGCTCTTTCACATAAGGTATTCCAAAATTTAATTAACTAGCGTTTGTGAAGGACCAGGAAAGAGTGTGATGAAGTATATTGAGTTCACGTGCATAAGCCCAACAGCAGCATTAGGGGCAATAACAAAAATTGTTTGATTTGCTAAATCCCAAAATAAGACAAAAATCACAGGTTGTTGAAAAAGTAGAGAAAATGAAACTGGAAAAGGCACAGCAAGACAGCAAGGTAGGGAGGAGAGCGGAACAACAGGACAACGCACACAACCGAAGATGTCAGAAACATGTTCACCACCAAAGCATGTGCTTGGAGGGCTGATCTTTGTACCTGCTTGAAACTGCATTAATTTCCTCATGGTCTTGAGTTCTTGGAGAATGGCCTGCAACGTTGACTGGCAGTTACAAGTACAGCAGTTGGATCCAACCGACGAATTCACCCCTGGGAGTTCTCCTGAGCATGAAAGAAAAGAATGCTATACTCCCAAAGCATGCAAAAAATAATTATAAAGAAAAGGAAAAAAAATGTACCTCGACAGGATTCTGAAGTATGTACAATTATCATCAAACTGTGCCAGGAGAAAATGTACCCTGTAATTTTCACAACCTAAATTTGGGGGTCTGACTTTATCTAATTATCCAGGCCTCTGTTTGCAGGGTGTATGCTGTGTCACAGGTAGCAGGGTCTGTGTGAACGTGGGCACATGATGCATTCCCAAGGCATGCCCGGCTGCTGTGGGGCTCCTTCCTCCCGAGTAACAACGCCAGTCACCATAAACACTCATGCTACTCTCTCAGACAGCAAAAGCCAAAGCAGGTAAGTTCCAGCTCTCCAGCAGCCTGACAGGACCACTGCCGGTGTGTATGCTATGGGGCTTCATATCAAAACTTAAACCAGCCTAACAAAAACCAGTTTCACAAGAAGAGCTGTGGATTCCAGAAACGTCTAAAATACTCTGCAGCTGGGGTGGGGAGAGGACAGCATTTTGCCCGGTGGATTGGAGGTGTCTGTAGCTTGCTTTTCTTCATAAAGAATAATCCCTCTTTTCTTGACCCTGCTTCTTATAATCCCTGTCACCAGTCTCCCTCTCATTGCTTAAATTTAATTTATTTTCCTTAACAGAGCTATTCTCTTTGGTTTCTCCTATATATGAAAAGTATTTCCCCACTGTCCACGAATTAAAACATTTGGACCTAGAACTAGAACATCTGGAAAAAAGCTCCAGTAGCTGAGCCCCTCTGGCCCCAGGTTAGTTACCAGGTTAGTTCCAGGAACAGGGAACCTAAGCGGCAGCTGCCTCTTAAGTTTCTGGCAGACAGGTGAGAGCAAGTGAAAGGTTTTGCTACAATGGTTACATTACGTTGGATATAAGCCAACTCCTGTCACACTCATTGTTTGTACATACTAGTGTTTACCACAGCAAAACCGCAGAAGGGTTAAAGGCCAACTTCCGGAGCAGCGCAAGTATTAACACTCAGATGGAAGCAAAGTGAGCTAATTCAACCTTACAGTCACCAGCCATCCCAGAGACACACAGGGCAGCCGCAGGGGTGACTCAAGGATCCAGGGGAATCCCTGAGTGACTGTGGAGATGGGCAGGGCACAGTCCCAAGTGAAGCTGATGGTCCTGCTTCACTTTTAACACAGTGGGAACAGGGGGCAGTTGAAAAGTTTACATTTGCTTAAATTTCTCCTAACTGCACACGACATCACGCACAGTCTATAAGTGTTTGTGCGTCTAAGTTCTAATAAATCTTGATTTTTTAAAAAGAAGTGTATGTATTTTGGTAGTAAATTATATTGATAAATAATAAATGATATTATAGACATATTTTATGCATTGACATGTCTAACTTTCACATTTTTTGCACTTATTTCTAGGCTCTGGGGTCCACCTAAGGATTTGCACAAACTGTTCCAAATCTCTACAAACTAGCTTCCTTAAGCAGATGTGCATAATTGTAGCATACGTTATTCAAGGATCAACTGTATACTACATTTTGTGTGTCTGTGTGTGCATGGTGTAATCATGTCGGTGTGCACAGGTGTGTGTGGAGGGCAGCGGTTGATGTCAGGTGTCTTTCTTGAAGGACAGGGTCTCTCAGGGAACTTGGAGCACACAGATCTGGTTAGACTGACTGGCCAGCACACTCATTCTCGCTTCGCGCTGCTGGTGCTGTGATTACAAAAGCTGTACCTGAGTTTTCTGTGGGCACTGAGAACTGAACTCAGGCTTCCACACTACGTGACCGACGCTTTAACTACTCAACTCTCTCTTCAGACATTTGCATAATGTAATTTTACTAAACTGATGCAAGCAATAAACACAAAAGATCTATTTTGACACTGATCTGGAGAAATTTTTGTAATTTTTAATATAGGTAACAGTTTCTAAAGTAAATCTAACATTCTTGTATATTGGTGAGTCGAAATATGTCACCCCCAAATTACTGATGTGGGAGGATCACGCTCACTATCTACCCAGAGGCCCCCCTTTTTCTTACTGAGGTAGAGTTAAGAGGGCTTTACCGAATATCCTTAGGCACTAATCTGAGCTCTATCTTTATGGTTTTTTTAGAGGACAAAACTAGTCCTTCTCAGCTCATTATAAATCATTTTCCAATTTTAAAGAGAACTGACTTCTTATTTTTATGGAGAAGCCTTTAGAGAGCAACCTCCCCCTAACCTGGAAGCCTGCCAGCCAGTGAACCTGACACTTGCCATGTAATACTGAGAGGAAGAGAAGACACCATCCATCTCTAGGGTCCCTTATTGTTTCATCAGTGTCCCAGGATGGCTTCTCAGTCCCCTGAACTGGTTACTGTGAATTGTATTTAAGAAAAAACAAAACAAAACATTTTCTTTTTACCAAAGGATATCATAAAATGAAAATGCAGGGAAGGAAACCCTTAACTTTTCAAGGAACCTGAAAAGCCTTTTTCCCCCCTTTGTTCTTTATGAAAACTATAGATCTGTACATCCATGCATAATTTATAAACCAAACAACATCCAGTGTCACTGGATGGAAAATTAATATTACCAAGAAAAGCATCAATTCTTTCCCTTAAGCTTTGAAAAGACTTCACCCCCCCCCCCCACACACACACACTTCACAGTCAGGGATTTTAAAGAAATTTGACTTTAAAGCCGTGGTCTTCAACCTTCCTAATGCTATGACCCTTTAATACCATTCTTTGCATTGTGGTGATCCCCAACCACAAAATTATTTTCGTTGCTACTTCATAACTATAATTTTGCTAATGTTATGAACTGTAGTATATATATATATATCTGTGTTTCACAATAGTCTTATGAGACTCTGGTGAAAGGATCAGTCAACCCCCAAAGGATTGTGCCGCGCAGGTTGAGAGCCACTGCTCTAAAGGAACACTCCTCTGCATCAGTTTCAGCATTGGAATGGGGGTAGAGGAAAGAACTGTACAGAAGGCAAGTTGTGAGGACTCTCTCTAACGGGCTCTCCTGATGACGAAGTGAAGTGAAGGAGTAAGAAAGAGCATGCATTAGTGACACACGGCCAGGGAGCTTCCGTTAGTGCTAAAGGCAGCTGCTTCTGCACTCATGTCTAGCCTCTGGTGACAGTGTCCACTGGCGGACAACAATTCTGACTTCATGAAGTCTCTACTAGGAACCTGCTTTTATTTATCACTGACCCACTGACTTTCCTCACTCTTAGCTCTGGAGCTGCTCCACACTTAGACTTCTTTATGTCTTCCCCTTCTGCCATTTTAAAATAACACAGCGAGGGAGTGGAGCTGCTGGTGAATAGTTGAGCCTCAGTACCATACACAAAAACAGAACCCAGTGATTCTAAGGGAGGCAACCAAGGGAGGGTTTCACAGACTGACCTCAAAGAACAAACTCAGTACTTGGGAGCAAAAAAGCCAGGGTACCTGCCCACAAGGATATTCCGAATACTGTTGGATAATCATACCATTGGAACTTGCAGAGGCGTGGGGCTGATTCTGGAAGGTTCTAGAACGTGTACCATACTGCCCTGAGAACTGCCCGCCTTGGGATGGTAATTCATTCCATGCCCCACGTGAGGGAGGGTGGAGGCCCCGTGGAGCCTCGGCAGAGGAGTTCAAACGCTGAGGCCAGACTAAATCCAGATCCTGGGGCTCTTCTTTCAGTTTTTCTCCTTCTTTGCCAACACGTTGGTATATCCTCCCCGTGCTGTCATTCAGTAATCTTCTCATCCCTGTAATTTGTTTTTTAATTTCCATGCTTTCATCTCCTAATGGAAACAGGGTCAAAGTTAGCACTACAACTTAACACAAGAAAACAGAACACGAATAATCCACCACCATAACCTCCAATGAAAAGAGCCCTCTTTGGAAATGGGAAAGAATACTGACTCCATACTCTGACATAATTCACAAAGCTTAAGGGAAGGAAAACTGGCTATGACCTAAAGATCACAGTCCTGACACATCTCATTTAAATCATTTCCAAGCTTTCTTTAGTGCATGATCAGAAACCAACTTCCAATTTCCTCTTTGGACATATTTTATGAGTGAGTGTTCGTTAGGAAAAAAAAAGAAAAGAAAGCTGTGACAGAGGAGCAAAGATGGGACCAGCAGGTGAGAGTCATCAGCTCAGCCACAGCCCCATGTGTAACTGAAATGGATGGCAGGTAGGTAACCAGTGACTGACTGCCTTGCCCCCTCCACTGTCAGCCTCAGTGAGCAGATGCCAAAGCAAAGAATGTTGGAAGTGGAGCTCTTTAAGGCAGGCATTTTCCAGGATGGTACACTGTTGATGGCAACCTTGCCTTCACAGAGACGACGGACACAGGGGCACCGAGGGCAGCATGGCAAGCAGGGGATGTCTGTTTCCTGGTGTCCTGATGGGGCTGTTGCTTTGATTACTGCTCACTGGAGACATGGGCTGTATCAGCATGAGAAGGGAAGGGCGGCCTCTCTGCTCCACCCTCTGCTGGAAAGCAGAGTCACCACGCTGGACCCCTCCAACCCCAATCCACTGCACATCCCTTACAGTGCCCACTCTGAACTTCGTGCTTCTAAGCTTCACGTCACTTCTGTTGACTTCCCTTGTGATGATGAAGAAAATGGGGATGTTCTAAAATTCACCATCATGACTAACCTTGAAGGTTTCTTAAGTTCAGTCACATATATTTCTATTATTGCGCAACCAGTCTCCAGATCTGTTTTTGTTGTTGTTTTTTAAATTTCAATTTCTTTTATAAGAATTTTCCCTCAGGGTATGTTAATTTTTTTTTTTTTTTTTTAAACCAAGGCTCTTCAGCTGGTGTGGCGCTGTACGCCTTTAATCCCAGCACTCAGGAATCAAAGGCAGTAGATCTCAGTGTATTCGAGGCCAGCTTGGTCAGCAGTGTGATCCTAGGCCGGCCTAGGTTACCCGAAACCCTGGCCCCCACCCCAAATGAAACAAAACAAAACACTAAGGTATCTCTATGCTGTACCTATATTTTAATAAACACTACTAAAGATAACTACACAGCTGTACAGATATTGGAAGCTATTACAAACACTGTCTTCTCTTGTGTCCTGATGCTGGAGGTTAAGCCCAGCGCCTGTTCCATGCTGGATGTGAGCTACCCCATTGTGCTGCCTCCCAGCCCTATGTTACCTTAAGCTGTACAGTAACAAGCATCATCTTCGAGATGACACGGGCTTCCCTCTAATCTATGCATCGACACTCTTATTCTATATAATGTACACATAGCCATGCAGTCACCCTAATAAATATCTAAATATATATCTAAATAAATATCTTCTCACATTAAAGTGTGAGAAGAAAGAGATGGAAGAGACTGTTAGGAAAGATGTAGTATTACAAATAAACACATAATGACATTTTAATGAACTTAGCATCATATAAACCAGATTTTTCAGGCAGAACCTGGTAGTTGCATAAAAACTTATGTACTTTGTAGTATCCAGTTAAGACAGTCAGTTTATTAATGTATTTTATTACCACCTATTATGGAAAAAGATTTTATAAGCTATTCTGAAATGAGTACCTTCAAATATTGGGGGGGTGGAGTCTGGGGACCAATTCATGCTAAACATGTGCTCTACTGCCAAGAGCACCTAGCCCCTCTGTTTAAAGACAGTAATAAAATATTAATTCGGTCTTTCATATAGAACAGAATGCAGGAGAAAACATTCATAAATTTATGTTATTTTGTGTTACCATGTGATTGATAAGAGAAATACCTTAATTGGCAATAACCTTTTTTTTTTTCTATTTTAGACACCAGCAAAGTTATAATCCAAAAACAAAAAATCACATTCTATGTTTTATGAGAATGAATGACCAAGCATGATTTAAATAATGCACAGTGAACAAAATTTATACTGTTCTCACGATGTCTACAGAGCAGGGTGTGTCTGGACGAGCTCCCAGGGGAATTCTGAAAGTAGCCTCTTGGCAGATGTAGTGTGACTCTCAGCATCAGACCCTGGCTTTCCTGGCCAGCTAACAGCACAGGGCCAGCAGGAGGAAGCATCTTTCTCCTGTTTCCACTCTTGAACCCTTAGCCAGACTGGCCATGGAACAACCAAAGTTGTGCTGGCTGGTTCTTCACTGGCACAGGCTAGGTGCCGTCTTTGCTCTCACCTATGGCTCCCTGGAAAGAGCTGACCTCAGCCAAGCTAACAAGCTCTTGACCCAGTGAGGGGCCACCTTTCTTCACTAACCCTATACATAACAGGAAGACAGATGCTTTTTGACCAAGGTTCACTGTTTGGAAGATAAGGATGTATGATAAGGTGCTACCATTAGGAAAAAAGAGAGAAAAATCAAGAAAACAAGAAAAGTCACGAGGATTCTGGAACGTTCTAAGGGCAAAGATGCTTTGTCATAATTTAGTTTCACAGTTCTAGAATTTGGGCCTGTGAGGATTAAGACCAAAAATATAACTGAAGGGTTTTTTTGTTTGTTTGTTTGTTTTACATAACTTTGGTTGTGTTGATGCCCAGAATACTAAGCAAGCTAAGAAAAAAGAGAGAGAGAAAGAAAGGGAAAGAAAGAAAAAAAGAAAGAAAGGAAAGAGGAAAGGAAGGAAGGAAGGAAGAAAAAAGAAAGAAAGAAAGAAAGAAAGAAAGAAAGAAAGAAAGAAAGAAAGAAAGAAAGAAAGAAGAAAAGGTGACAAGTATACAGGAAGGAAGAACCTGGTAGCAAGCAGCCTCTACAAAGGTCAAAACAAAGGGCAAAACTGAGCTAAATGAAAACCAGAACTGGAAGGGGACGGCAAAAGCAGTGGAGCTGTGAAGGAAGCCAGCTTGAGGTCTAGGCAGGTCATTTTAAAGAGCAGAAACTAGGAAACTGCACAGAATTGCAGAACTCTCTTCTGAAACAAGTAGAGAACAAGGAAGGCTGGAAAAGGATTGGTTGAGGGAGTTTCCTTAGAAGAATCAGGTTGGGCTCCTTAGTGGACAGTTGTTTAGGAGTATATTCCCTGTATCCGGAAAAGTGGGAAGAAACTAAGGCAATTGCCTTAGGTGAAGGAAAACCCTGGGACTCTTGGATGGGCGGCAGAGAGAGAGGGAAAGAGCTTTGCTTGCACATTCAGGACAGATGGGGCAGAAGGTCAGAAATGAGGCCTGAAGGCTGGAGCAGACACCACAAAAATGCTGACTCAATCTACAGAACCTGGGGGCAGACAGATGGGCTGAGGCCCACACACCCAGACAGCAGGTGTGAGTTGGTGGAACAGGTAGATTTGCATGATCTTCCAGAGACCTGGATTCACTTCTTAACTGTACTGACTTGCCGCTGACTATTATTACACTGTTATCTTAGTTTCTTGAATTATAAAGGTTTACTTCAGAACTGTGCTAGATAACCTAAGGGGGTGCAGAAGCAGTCCAGAAAGGGCTCAAGCTAGTCACAGCTTCTGAAATATTAGTTAATTAAACATCGAATGCTCTGAAGGCGACATGTGCCTTCAGATAACAGGGCCTAATTTATCATAGTGGATTCTTTTTGGTTGAGATGAAGGTACTGGTTGACTTCTCATCTTCCTGTGTCTAATGAGTCAGTGTCTTTTCTGTGCATAGGTTTGAGGGAAACAAGGTATCAAGAGCAAGGTACTATTTGGAGAAACAAGATTCTATATGGAAACCTTTGCATTCCTGATATCTTTCCAAGCTCCCATCTATCTTCACTTACACTCAACTCCACTTAAGAAAGACAAATGAAAGGAATAATCTTCTAGTTGAGCGATGCCATCTGTCTGTCCTATTGGTGAAACAACCATACTTTAATTCCTTTCAAGAGCGTAGTAACTGGAGCTCGGGAGACGGCTCAGTCAGAAAAGTCTTTGCCATGCATGAGGCCCTGAGTTCAGATCCCCAGCATCTGGACAAAAGCTGAGCATTGCAGTGTGCACCTGTGACTCCTGGGAGGGGAGGGAGACAGGTGGGCCCGTGGAGCCTACTCGTAAGCCAGTGTAGCTGGGTTAGTAGGTTCCAGTTTCCATAAGAGACTCCAAACAAAGTCAGGTGGAGAGTAACGGAGGGAGAAAAGAACACCCTGTAGGCTGGGATGCCCAGGCTCTGTTAGATCCCGTTCCTTCACATAAAGAATTCATGTGATGCATGATGTGATAAGTAAGAGTACGAACGGCGGTCCCCACACAGAAGCCCTTGTAATCTGGCCAGGTTATACCTGACAGGACATCATTATTTAGTCTGGTGCTACAAGAAAAAGATAATATGTCATCTCCATGTGTCTTACTCTCTCATGAAGGCCCAGACATTCGCACTACAGAGCACCAGGTGCTAGTGTACAGTACAGTAAACATTCCCCAGGCCTTTCTTAAGAAATTGAAGGAGTGGTGGTTTTATAAAACAGAAAGAGGCCTAGTGGAAATAGATGTCACACAGAGGTAGTAAACAAGTAATATATTAATAACACAGAGTGAAAGGGTAGTCACATAAATTATTCAACAGACATTTATCAGGGTCTCAGAGATACAAAGATCACCAGGCACAAACGGAAAGACACTCCCCTCCAAATTCCTTAATGTCTTTACCCAAATCCTTTTGTATTGATTTGTTGCTCTGAAAAAATGTTCCCAATTCTCCCAGGCCCTATGGTTCCTTCCCTTCTGCGTCTAGCTAGCAAACTTCCTGGCTATTTGCAGAGACATCTTCGGTTTCCTCCCCGAAGCTAGAACATGGTTCTCCCCTGAAGAGGCTGCTCTTTTTGCAGCCCCAGGGTTGAAGTTATTCATTCTCTCCATCT